CGTCTATTATTACAAATTATGTGTTACCTACATATTATTTAGAAGAAAGTAAACATCTAGGAATGTAACCTAATGGTAATCCTGGTTAAGCACCATCATTTTAGATAAAGGTAACGGAAAGTTGAATTTTCCATGAGGAAATATATTTTATCCTTTACAAATGCTAGTCGCATTTTAAACTGTATGTCAAAGGTTTTAACCCTTATTCAAATAAAGGTAAATATATTACCACTTTGTTTACTTTAAAAAAAGGATCCTAATTTTCGATATGGTAATACTTAAAGATATCTTGGTCACTTATTTATATTTTTAAATATATTTTTTTACTTATCTATGCCATTTTACAACTTTTCAACGTCATTTGTCACTGTCAGGTAATGTCAAAGTCAACCAAACGGTTTTGGTGTGAAAAATTTCAAGTTTTTAGCGCGCGTTTTTGGTATTTTTGAAACTTTGTTCAACGAAAATTCTGATAAGTGTTTTTTGGATTCAAATTCCTAAACTATAACATTTATTGTATAATCTCACTTATAGGCAACGTCTGCAATTGATTTATTCATATAATTTAGACATTTTAAAGAAGTGGTAAATAGTTTACCATTGTCCGATCCCGTCTTGACAAAAGTTTGATGATATATAAAAAAACTGCTGTTTTTTGTATGTGCACAAATAAAACTAAATAAATATTTGGAGAAATTTTAAGTTATTTTGATATCTATTTACGTAACGTTTTGACGTTACGTAATTAGTGAATTGTTAGTTTCAGACTCAAGGTAAGCATCCTAATTGTAAGCATAATAAGTAATATTAATAAATATAAAAACAATATATTTATTTCATTCCCAAAATATTTAATGAAATATAGGTAGAACCAAGAGGAAGTCACTAGTCAAGAACCAAAAATAAACCAAAACGGACAATGGTAACTATTTTACCACCAACATTTAATAATTCGTAGTCATAAATGGATAATGGTAAATTATTTACCACCCAAAAAACTACCCCTTCCCCTATTTTTTTATAAATTTTGATCAAAAATATGAAATAAGTGACCCACAATTACCCAAAATCCACTTCAACTTTGTAAAAAAAATCCATACCAGCTCGCGTTTGAATAAGGGTTAAGGTTCAATATGATCATCATGCTATGTCAATTGGTCAAATGAATCGGACTACAATTCCGTATTTAGCCGGTGACGAACATGTCAATTTTCCTCCTTTTATATTGTGATACTTCACATGTATGTAGTGGTCATGTGAAACCTAAGTGATATTTTGGTTGATGGCGTATACATATTTTTTGTTGTTTTGTCTCATAGGCAACTAATAAAGTACTCTTCTATTAGAACTTTGTTTCATTTTTAAAAATAATAACCACCCCCAATTTATAATAACTACCTATTGGTCGAAAGGACATTGGCAAGAAACCTATTCTAGAAAACTTTGATCTATCTGTTGAAATTGTTCATAATATCATGACCTTTTTAAGTTCGTAGTCCATTACAAGTTTAAATTAATGGTAGAACAAAATGAAAAACATCTTATGTTACTATTTTTTTATTGAGTCACCTTGATGATGTCATGTTACTAGTGGTTCTTGTATAAATGGGTGGTTTAGACAATCTGTGACAGTCATTCTTTGATGATAATCCAGTCCTAACATCTTGTCTAAGAAATCCTTGAGTTGAATCAATTTCTTTTCGTCATCTGCATATGTACTTTTATGCGTTTTCTTCAGTTCTTGTAGAAGGTCTCGGGAAACATTGATAGTGAATAGTTCAACAAATTTTTCCCTTCCCGTAGCTTCATCTTTTTTGTGTAGAAGGAAGTTATTATTGTAATTGAAATGTTGATCCTTAAATTTCCCTTTCTGAATCATTTTTCCAGGGATTTTTCCTTTTAGGTCCATAAAGCATTTCAACATTTTGTTGTTAGAACTTCCAGTGAACATAATTTTTCCAGTGGTCATTTCATATATCGTGCAAGCAGCAGACCACACATCCACACTATGCTTGAATGGAATACCCAATATGATTTCTGGGGCTCTGTAAAACCTGGAGACTAAATAAGGAGTTGATTCATTATATCCAACTATCATTGCTGAACCAAAGTCACATAACTTCAATATATTCTTTTTCTCATTTACAAGGATGTTGTCAGGTTTTACATCAGCATGGATGATACCAACTTTTTTTAAATGTCTCAAAGCTAGAAGCAGCTGTCTGCTATAGCTCATAACAGCTTTCATATTTAGACCACGGTGTCTCCCATACTTTTTAATAACATGCCTTAAATCCATATAAAGGGGTTCTAACACTAGGCAAAGGTGCCCTTTGTGCATGAAATTCTTGAGCAATCTTACACAATGGTATTTATTCTCAGGATCAGCATCATTAATCTTTCTCAACATGGCTAGTTCTTTTAGGCCCGTTTTGTACATTAAATCATTATTTCGCATTATTTTAATAGCCACTTCAGATTTATTGTTCTTGATGTCTTGAGCTAGAATGACATTAGCAAATACACCTTGTCCTAGAATACTTTTCACTACATATTTATTATTGTCTATGATATCGCCAATTCTTACGTTGTAGTAACCTTCTGGATCATCCCAATTGTCACTCAATTGTGAATTGCTATTGTCCTGTGTTACTGAATCTGGGACTTTATTGGGAACAAAGTCGTTTTCTGAAAACATATCAGTTGTTTCTTTAGCAGAACTTGGTTTGTCTGGTGAAGGTGATTCTTCACAAGGAGTTTTGATTTGAACTATTTCTTCAGGCTCTGCAGTTTTGTTTAAACACACATTCTCAGTCTCTGACTGAAGGTTTAATTTCTCTAAAAGTTGCTTTCTCTGTCTTCTCCTCTGTTCTATAATATTTTCTTCATCGTCAGAATCTAAATGGGTATAGTCTTCTTCTTGTTCTGGCAACGGTTTAATTGTTTTTCTATTTTTTTTAGCATTATGGTTGTCGTTTGCATCAGGATGATTTCCATTGGATTTGAAAGAATTCATTATACTGTCGTGCATTGTATTCTCTTCAAGTTTATTTTTAGAAATTCTTTTTAATTCTTCTTTAAGATTTTGTCTTTGTTTTATAAGTTCATCTAGGCTTGAAACTTTCGACGGTAGAGGTGGAGTCTTACAATCCGAACGCCGTTTGGTTTCTTTATGTTCTTCATGCCTCCTTTTCCGTGAGCTTGATTTTAGATCTCCACTTCCAATTCTTCTGGTTGATTTGTTTTTTGGATACCTGTTGTCTGCCATTCTACAACTTCAAATTCAAACTTGTTATACTTATTTAATATAGGTACTATGAGGATTTATTAATCTGTAAAGAGATAAAAAGAAATTAGTACAAATGGCTAAATTTCAAAGTTTGTAAGCTACATTAAACTATTTAATGAAATATCATTTTTTTCATGAACATGTATATTGTAAAGCAGTTTCAGGTCACTTTCATGATAGTTGTTGATTTGTTTTATAGAAGATTGATGGCTTATGCAACTCTCATGAATGTGACTTTGGTGACATCTATAAAATATTGTTACTATATCATTGATTACATTTCCACCCATCCAATTAATTATCAGTATTCTGTTCCAAGGTTATGAGTTTTTATGCAATCATTCACATCTTCATATTTCCACTGATGGATTTAAGTATTGAACATGTCCCATTTAAAGTGGAAGCCACATCACTTTACTGAACCATCCATGGTATTTGTTTTTAATAGTATGGACTTATGTGTCATCTTGCTAGAAAAAAGTTGTAAAAACACATTAGAACAAATTCCTCAAACAAAATGCCAATGATACACACTTATTGTATGTGTTGTGAATCATTAGTAAGTAACAGTTATTAATATTGGTAGTAGTAGGTAGCATCATTTTACTCATCCTAGTTTTGAATTATTCAATAAACAAATATATCCAAGATTGTGCCAATAAGAGCTGAAATTATACACAAGTCATGGGACATTAAACGCACAATGAAAATGTTTATTACAGAACACTAAAATCGTCTTGATGGAGGTTTAATAGAATTGAAATAATGAAATAATTTTGGAAGAAACTCAATCATACTAATAACGAATACTAGGATCAAACATTGTGTCCACTTCAAGTATCATAAATGATAGTAGTAAATGAGATTTTTTAGCAAATATCCACGAGCTCTTTCGAAAGATTTATGAAGGCGCGAAAGTAGGCTCTGAAGAAAATGTTGTCAATACATTAAATAAGGTCTTATATAACTGAATAAGTATAAATATAAGATAATCACAGTACGCGCTAATTAATATTGTCTAATATTATGAATAAAAGACAATATTATTAGCAAGTTCAAGAAGGTTTTTGTTTTTTATTACACAACAAGTTATTAATTTGTATTGACATATTTCTATTGATTACTATTTCAGGAGATTTTAGTAGTAATCAAAAGAAATACAAATCAGTAAATTAAATGGTTAAGCACACACTTTTGTATTTTTTTTGTGGGTTTTTCAAAGATTTGTAAATTATTTTCTGACAGACAACGACAACCATGACAGACCATGACAGACAATGAATATGTCATCATTCACCACAGATTAAAGATTAGTGGCATTAGCATTAGCGGTAGGCTTCGAGCAGACAAGTAAGGAGACGGCGGCATGCTTTTTTTGCAAATGATGATCACTTTCTTGCACCCTGAAGAAAATCTTAAATAATAGTTAACTAAAGAAAAATAGAAATAAAGTAGAAGAAATTGCCTTAGATCAGTCATCAGCTTGTTATTTATGACCAACATATGGTCACTTTCCATTTTAAATGAAAAAAAGAGGGTAATAATTATGATGCCTTCTCCATTTAAATAGTCATTAATAATGACTCATTATTGAAAAAGCCACAATACATAGTGTATACGATGTAAGTTCCCAATGTGATCATTCAATTGATTAATCGTAATAAATCATACACGAAATATTTTTCCAAATCCAAAAGCACATCACTAAATTCAAAATTTGACAATGTTTAAAATCTAACCTCAAATTTAATCGGCGCTATTCTTCGGACTTTGCTAAAAATTTTATTTAATTGAAGGAAAATGACTATGTTCGCTAAAATTGTGTTAAAAAATGCATTTCATAACAATTTTCGGTTATGTATTCCATTTCGAACATTGTATGTAACGCAAGGTATGTCTCTCTCTAACCTCTCAAGATTTTGTTCTTTTATTAAATTTGTTAATTATTGTGTATTAAATTCACAGTGCAACATTTATATTCACAAACCGCACTTGGGATTGATGGTTACCTCCAATCGAGAAAGAGAATCAAGGAGCAATTTTCAAATTTTTCTGATAAGTTTCGGACGAAGATGATTGAGTTTGTTCAGGATCCTAAAAACATGGTTTTCACTGAAGACTTAAAAAATATGGTACATATAGCGGAACCTGCAGATCTTGAACTCGTTATGGATATGATCAAAAAGTATGTTCTACAAATTGAAACAAATGTTTTACAATTACTTCTTTTAATGTATGGTCATGTACAAAGTGTGACTTTCTTTCAGGTTCAACACCAACAAATCAGAATTTAGGTTTGGTTCATTTGTTTTTGGTCCTGTAGTGATGCGAATGTACCATTTTTTGGATGCTCCCAATGAGGCTTTGAAGGTACCTGTGAAATTTCAGGCTTTAAAATTATTACAACACCTAAATGAGTTCAAAAGACAATGCCGGAAATTGGCGTCTTTTTTTTTTCACGCGGCCATCGACCAAACCTTGTTTTTTGATTACAAAATAGGTAATAAACCAAACTTACTATGATAATGTATACATCTAAACTCAGTCTGAACTGAGTTACGAGCATCAGAAGTTTGATGATTTTCATACTAGATTTGCTGTTTGCGCGCAAGTTTTGTAAGAAATTGCAACAAAATAATGACATTGTATGTGTAAACAAACAATACCATCCATTAAAGGCTCCAGACATCAGTATGTAGCAGAATCAGCGCAATAAAAAAATAGCGCAATATTTTGTTGCAATTTCTTACAAAACTTGCGCGCAAAAAGCAAATCTAGTATGAAAATCATTAAACTTCTAATGCTCGTAACTCAGTTCAGACTGAGTTTAGAGGTATACATGCCATAGTAAGTTTGGTTTATTACACTATTTTGTAATCAAAAAACTAAGATGGTCGATGGCCGCGCGAAAAAAAAAAGACGCCACCTTCCATACAAAATCTGGCATTGCCATTTTTGAGAACTTAAGCAAATAACCTATTTTTTTACATTATACTATTTATTTATACAGTCTTTTTAATGATGTCTTTCTTTTCAGTGCTTTGAGGACCCTGACAACAAAGGTTTCTTCGACCAAGTAATGACGTACCACATTTTGCTTGACTTGCTCTACTGCCATGAAATGTATGACGAGATGTACAGAGTTTTCGAAAGAGCCAAAGAGGCACAAATAAATATGATTAAATTCCCCAAGTATCCTGTAGTTTTGATTTTAGCAGCGTGTTACAAACAAGTAAGTTTTGTAAGAAATAATTAGAAAATGCTACACAGAGAGAAGATATTTTTAGTATCTCTAGCACTTAACTTAGTCAGTGCCTGAGGAGGTGTGACATTGACATATTATGACATGACAGAGCCTACAAATCTGCCCCCCTAGACAAAACGCACTTTTTGATCGAATCGAAAATCGAATCCGTCAAAACTCCATACAAAAAAGGGGCTTTTCGACCACTTTTCGACTGGTTTGCGATTATAATTTGCACTTTGTCTAGACCCACTGAAGCATATCAGAAGTCTTGCTGATGTTTTATGTCTCAAAAACTCCCTCCCGTGTCACTCCCATAACCCAGGCATTGACCGAGTAAAGCCTATTATATTATTACCTATACCTTAGTATAATCTATTTACTCTAAATTCTATGCATGTTTATATTTCATGTTATGATTATGTTTATTTCCAGAACACACCAAAAAGTATGGAATACGCTTCCAATTTGTGGACAGAGATGACTGACGCAGGCACTGCCCCAGTTAGAAGAGCTTGTACTTTCTTTGCAGGTATTAATTTTAATAATTAATATACCTGGGTATTATGTTTGAAGTTTAACTGCATTATTTTAATTTGATTCTGGTTTTTTACAGCACTAGCACTGAAACAAGGGGCTCCTCATATAGCACTAGAGTCAATATCAACACAGAAGAAACATTATGTCACAGTTAGGAATATTAAGGTAAGATACTTCTCCTCTATGTGTAGAGACCCATATAAGAGAAGAGAAACAAGAAAAAAATCAAAATGTATTAAAGAGCCTCAGTGCAGATTTTCTAATTGGATTTTTGCAAAACTAGTCATACTTTTTTTTTTTTGATGATTCTGCTTCATGGCAATCTGTTTTTCAACAATAAACATAATCTGAGGAATCAACCAAAGAAGTGGTTCTTTGGTTGATTCCTCAGATTATGTTTTCTTTGAGAGCCATACTTGTGTGAAAATTCATTTCACACGACTCTCTTGATGTCAGGTGGTAAATCTTTTATGTAGGCTTGGTATGTCATTTCTCTTTAGCCGGGTGTGCAGAAGAGCGCCTTCCCCACTCAGAGCGTGCGCTAATTTGTTAACACTAGTCATACTAGGAATTAAATATCATAATAAATATCATAATCGTAAGAATGTGGATAGTATCATGTCAAACCAGCGCTATCAGTACGCAACTTTCTGCTACTGGTTCGCGTTTTATTTGGCATTGCTTGATACTGCAAGTTAATACAAAAACACTGTTTTGTATTAATCTGGTTCACCATTTTCGATGCAAAATTGTGTCTTATCAGATCTAAATAACAAAAAAACTCATAAAACTCCTTTATTTTTGCAAATAGGCTTTTACATGTCCCAGTATTAACCCTACCAGTGCTTCGGGACAATAAATGGGCCAGTGCTGAGAATAAGCATCGCAAGAAACTCAGTCACTAAAGCCCGGTCTCCGCGCACGTGACCCCAAGCTACCGCGCTTGCACACTCACTGCGGGCGCCCGTCGCACAGTCGCGACAGCAATATAATTACGCGCGAGCAATAAGGATGGGTAGCTTGGGGTCATTGGACGAAATTCTACGTGCTCGGCGATCAGACTATACAGGGTGGAATTTTGTAATGCCACCAGGAGGGAAAGTACTCTTAATATTGTAGATAGAAAAATGTTCTCAAAGAAAACATTCCTTTATTTTTTTAAAGAAATAGAACTGCTTTCAAAGATTTCCAAAAATTTGCTTGCCACACCCGGGAATCGAACCAACTAAAATCTGTTAAAAATTACACCCTGTATTTTTATTACATCGATCGTTAGGGTTAAGTATAAGGATGAAATCTCTCTAACATACTTGATAAATCAAATGAAAGGAAAAGCATGAAATCTTAAATTATTTTAATTATGGTACAGAAAATTTTATGGTATGGTAGTGAATTTTCGAAAAAAAATCGAAAATCTTTGAATGCAGTTCTCTTTCTTTTGAAAAATAAAGAAATGTTTTCTTTGAGAACATTTTTCTATCTACAATATTAAGAGTACTTTCCCTCCAGGTGGCATTACAAAATTCCACCCTGTATTGTTATGATACAATGTAGCCCGAAATGTGGTTTGTATAGTGTGAAGGTAATATTTCAATAAAGTTTCTCATACAGGCAATGGCGCTGGCAGACATGGGGCGTGTAGACGATGCTCTCCCGGTGCTAAGGACCGTTTTAGACATCGACATTCCTGAAGAAAAGGACAAACACACCTTCTTCGAAGAGACAGTAAGTGAACTATTCAATATAATAAACTAGCGACCCGCGCCGGCTTCGCGCGGGTGCTAAGTATTACATAAACATTCCTGTTGAATCACTCTATCTATTTAAAAAAAAACCGCATCAAAATACGTTGCGTAGTTTTAAAGATCTAAGCATACATATGGACAGAGCGAAAAGCGATTTAGTTTTATACTATGTAGTGATAATAGGGAATATAAATGGTTTTTTCCTCATTTTTCTGTAACCTTGGTGGCTTTATTTCAACCTTATGACGCGATGACGTCATTTGACATGTTAAGGCCTGGTTTACACTAAGGCGTAGCGGAGTGGAGAAGTGTTTTGGATAACTAATGAGATTTCATTTCTCTCCTCCGCTCCGTACAGCTCTGCTCCGCGCTGTCAAATTCTTGCCTGACACTTCTCCGCTTCACCTTCGTGGAAACCGGGCCTAACTCTTCAAGTACCCACGAATCAAGTTTATGGCTATTTGTATCAACACTAGCTTTCCGAATTTTGTCTGTTACAGAAAAACTTTATCGCGCGCGTCCCTGTTTCAAAAACCGGGATAAAAACTGTTCTATGTCCTTTCCCGGGACTCAAACTATCTCTATGCCAAATGTCATCAAAATCGGTTCAGTGGTTTAGGCGTGAAAGCGAGACAGACAGACAGACATACAGAGTTACTTTCGCATTTATAATATTAGTATAGATTATTAAATGTAAACATGCTAGATAAAACTAGACTTATCTATTTCTGATGATAACAAACTAACGCACATGGTAATATATCTTCTAATACACATGGTGCTGTAGACTCATTATTCCATACTAGCTTTTGCCCGCGGCTTCACCCGGATGAAAGTTATTATGGGTTATAAAGAATAATACTGTAAAGTTTCATCAAAATCCGTTCAGTAGTTTTTGCGTGAAAGAGTAACAAACATGTTGACATCCAGACATCCATACAAACTTTCGCATTTATAATATTAGTAAGATATTAGTAAGATACTTTATTATTTGTACAATAATAAAATACAATTGCAGATATCAAGAGTAAGAGCAGCAGTGGAGAAGAAAGGTGACAAGGACTTGCAGAAGGAGTTTGAAACTATTGAGAAAGAATTGAAGGATCGCCGACTTATAGATACACAGGTAACTACTTTTATTAACTGAAAAAATTAATACTGCTAACCAGTTTCATGCAAAATCCATACTATACAGGATGTTAGGTAAATGGGTATATGAGCTGACACTAGCCCATGTTAACATATGCATATAAATGACTTTACCATACAGTCAGAAAATTGATATCATCATTTTAATTATTTTAATTTTCATAAAAATCTGATTTTATATATTTTATTTTGTATGAACTTTTAAAAAATTTAAATGATGATATCAAATTTCTGACTTCACCATACCATTTAAATGCATATTTTAACATGGGCTAGTGTCGGCTCATATACTCATTTACCTAACACCCTGTATAACATCATTTCTATGTACTATTAAAATTGTAATTGAAATCAAGTGTCCGCTATATGTACCATATTATGAAAAGTTACTTTACAATTAAAGGTGCATTAACGTCCACAAACAGGACACAAAAGTAAAACAATTAGGAGTAAACTAAATATGTAATGTTAAGACATAAACTGATAAACAGTTTATTGATAACATGATTATTTTAATTCAAATTCAAAATGTTTATTTGCTAAAAACACAGTAGCTTATAGACTTGAGGCTAACATTCACTGACCAAATTAATTTTCCATTCAGCAAACTTTAGAGAACCTGTTGAATGCCGAAATCACTGCAGGGCCGAAGAAACTGGACAAACCGCGCGGAATGCCTTTCCAGAAAAAGATGCCCTACGTTCCTCGCCAAAGAAGGAATTTCTAAAGAAAGAAAGTAAAGAAAAAAGAGAAATGTAGGTTCCGATGCAGACGTTACGGTGCAGAGCAGTTAAATGTGAATTACTGAATGCAGAATGCAATAATGCCAACATTGTGCGGAAATTACTTGATGTTAGGCTATGCGCTCAAGGGTGACTTTTTGCACCTTTTTGTCACCGTGACAGTATATCTTTCTCTTTTACACTTTATGAAGACAAAAATAGAGATATTATCACGCTGACAAAAGTCACCCGTGCGCGCGCGCCTTTACCCGAGTTAAAACCAACAAATTTTTTTAAAGAAAAACCAAAATTTCTGCTGTGTGTGTATGATGTCTGCATCTGAGCTTACGCGCATCCTCACTTACATTTTCTGGCACTTGTGAGACAGTAAAATCGCGAAAAAGACTTTCTCTATTGAAATCAATAAAATTTTAATAATTTCCAGTAATAAATTTTGTTGAACCAAATTAACATCACTTAAGAGCCATGTAACTTAATGTGTATCCAGTATCCAATATGGTACTTGCAAGTGTTTTGAGAATGAATAAACTTACAATTCAATAAATTAGCAAGTAGATTATGTTTGTAAATAGCTTTAATACTGTGAGTATGTGTGCGGTGTGTATGTAGATGAATGAATATGTAGATAAAATTGCAGGTTGCTTCAAGTGCAATAGAAAAAATGATTTATGTAAAGACTCGGTATTTCCGTACTATGTTTTTGAAATATTATGTGTAATTTGTATGCGAATTGCTGAAATGATTGGTTCAACTGTTATCTAACTGAATGCACTGTTGTTATCTATTTATTATTGCGAGTACAAAATGTTGTCTGTTCGATGTTAAAGACTTGGAATTAAAGAAACTTTTAATAGATATCTTGTTTTTTTTTAAACACCTTTCACTATAATAAGTAATTAACTTAGTAATATAAAAAATAATATTTTCTATTATCATCAATTATTAGAAAATCAAATAAGGTGTCAGGACCTGAACCCTACATTTAAAATTAATATTTACACTTGTTTTCATAATAGTGATTTAATTCATGTAAAATTATACAATTCAAGCTCTTCCCAGTTTATCTTAATCAATTTGTCTGGCGTAGCCAATCTGGAATGTTTGGGATCAATTTGTAAGCTGTTGTAAGCCGACGAAGACATTTCGCGCCGGTTTATTACTTCAGACGTAGCGTAGCCGCCTTTAGAACAGTCCCAACATGAAGATACAACCAACTTAATTTAAACAAGGACACATCAATTATTAAACATAGTGTACTTAACACAAATTAGGACTGATAGTCCCGTAACCCCTCGTGGTAAGCTAAATAATAAGCTTGTGTTATGAGTAGGTACTTATGAGTGACTACACCAGAATAGTGTAGCGGCACAGCGGGGATCGAACCCGCGTTCCTTGGATCTGACCCGACATGCTTCTTTACTCAGCTCGAACGTTAGATAACTATTTGGCCAAATATTGTGACTGCCATAGCAAATTTTTCTTCGACAGACGTGAATGTAAAAAAATCTTTGGCAAATAAAATATACTTACCTACATTTACGAACGACATTCGTGGTAAACTGGTAATCTTTCAGGCCTTAGAATTCTAAAGCGCGTGATCGCAAGTCCTGTGAGCTTTTGCTTTCAGTGCCCCGATTGCGCTAAATATTTTCAACTACAACGTGACTGGACGACGAACGAAAGTCAGCTGTTGACGCTTTGACAGCTAAGTAGTTCAAACGAAAACGAAATGCAACTGCTTCTCTATGTAAAAGCTGAAAGAAAGCTACTTTTTCTGAAACGCAAGTTAAACGCTTCACGAACATACATGTGCTGTTTTAGTGAAAAAATAAGGTGTTCGGACTTTTAATGGAAAGTCTTTCTTGTTTGCGCGTGAACTTTACCGCGATACCGAATTGCATATCAGATGGCATGAAATTGGAGTGTGGATTAAAGAATAAACGCGCACCAATGATGGTGGGGTGTTGGATACATTACACATTTGCGCAATCGGGGCCCGGGTCGTGGTCGGTCCAAGCAACGTGTCGTTCGTTGCTGTAGGTACCAAGGTATCTAGCACGTAATGGATTTTCGGTGTCCAAGCTTTTATCCCCGAGCTGTGGTGGAGATTAATGTAGGCCCGGCACCTAGCTACGTGACGGGATACGGTTTTGAATTGTTGAAACAGACGCTAATTGAGAACAATGAACGTGGCACATTTTGTGCAAGTTAACTCCATTGGTAGGCGTTTCTATTTTGAATTTTGTCCTATTTGTCTGCATTAGTAGTGTAAATTAGAAGGTAGTGCTATAAATAAGAAATGAATCTGGATTGGGTGCGGGGGCGTAATTTCGATTTAGTAGCCATCTAGTAGGTAACACGTAAAAGATAAGACCATAAGCTTTAAGGTAGTTAAACTTAGGCTGAGTTGCACCACCAAAATAGACCATAACTTTGATGATAACCGGTGTTTTTTTATGGAATTTGACAGATTTTTGACGTTTGTTAAAGTTAAGGTAAGTGGTGCAACTCAGCCTTAGCAAGGGTTGTGAGTTTTGTTTCTCACAATGTTATAAAAAAGAACAGCAGCCACATAGGAACATGACAAAAGCGAATGTCTAGATTGAGCGTGCCACCAGTGCAGTAATTACCCATCCTCACAGTTGCCCCAATTACCCCTTCGACGCGGGAAATTAGAGGCTTTTCTGCACTGAAAAACACATGTTTTTATGTGTTTTATTTAGCTCCCTGTGCTTGCGATTTACTTGTTATGCTACTGAAATACCATTGCAATGAAAATCCACAGAATTACTTCAAGGGAAGGCGATTCTGGGTTTGTATGGGGTTTTATAAAAAGACCTTTGATATTATTTCAGTGACTTGTTGGGTGGCGGAATAAGTCCTTATTAATCTTACCCAAATAAGTTGAACCTATTTATATCAACGTAGGTAATCGTAAGATTGTATCCACCTATTTGGGGTTAACTTAGGTATAAACATTTCTTTGTAATTGGATAGTAAAGCGTCGAAATGTAGATATATCTATGTAGTAGAGTACCTACTAAACTAACTAATCAGCAGTTCCCGGACACATGGGAAATTTAAAGCTTGCTAACTCGAAAAGAGCCTCTTTTGCTTAATTTCTGATTATAAGTAGTCACCGTATTTAGTGTCGATTTCATCGAGTAAGTTACAATCATTAAAGAAGTAACATAATTCTGGGGCTCTGAAAAGGGCCTACCATGAGCCTACAAACCTACAGAATTTGAAAGAACACGTTATAGCTGCGTCTCATTAATCAACCTACTCAGTGCCATACTCATAAACCAATCCCATCATCCCATCTCATGGCCAAAGCAAAGTATTCCGATCACTTTATAATATTATATTCAGCTCATACAATCATTTATGAAATCAACCTTCACATAAATCAGTATTAGATACTCCATCAGCCTAATGCTTAGATAGGTACATCAACAGAACATCATGCTAAACATTGGCATCTATGCAGTCGTAATAGATTCTATTTTGCAACGAAAATGTGTAATCTAATGTGCTGTCGAATGTTAGCCTTGAACCTCAATCTGAAACTTCCCGCAGACCCATGTATCGCCCAATCTTTCCGGAGAGCTCACTAACGATAGATTGCCCTAAAGTAGACAATAAGTATTTATTCCCGAGGTTCTGGGCGCGGGCCTTTTGGAATAATGGATGTTTTCATTAGACCAGGCCAGATTAGGTTAGAATTTTTCAATATCGCATGCTGTAACATGTGTAAAGACTTTACCTACGAGTACTTCTGTAGAGAAGCAGTTAGCTTAGCAGGGCAATCATATCGCACTTAGCCTTTTGATTGATTTGATAAATACCTAACAGTAAAAGTAAATAATATGTATAACTAGCTGTAGCTTTATCCCGCGGCTTCATCCGCGTGAAATTCAGTTTGTCACTGATCGTCAAAAATTATAGCCTATGTGTTACTCTGAGTTATAAACAATTATACTGTAGTTTCATTAAAATCCGTTCATTCGTTTTTGCGCGAAAAAGTAACAAACATACACACTCACAAACTTTCGCCTTTATAATGTTAGTGTGATTGTAGGTACTTACCTCTACTCAAAAGAGTCTTTCCAGACATGAAACGGCACTAGTCCGTTAGTAACTATACGTTTATCTTCATTATACAACGGATTAGCATACTAACCACTTTAATATTACTTACAATGTTTGAATGTGGCCTGTATGGGTCATAAAACTCGCATAAGAGGAGTAAAGGGACATTTGGTTATAAAACTTAAGTCAGCAGAGCTCGTCATAAACTCGGTTTAGGTTTAATGAAGTTGATTAAGTTTAATCCTGGGAAACGAGTATTTAAATGGGCGCTTTAGTTTACGATGACAATATACAACTTCCCCAAATTAAAAAGGTGTGGGTAATCTTTGTTCCTGGAGGAAGAAATTATCACTTGAATTTGTACGAGTAGACGGAAAGAGGCATGTTTTTACTGTTAAATTAATCTAAGTAGATCAAATATAAGCGTGTAAGATAATAAGACAGGGTCTTTAAAGTTTTCGACGTTCCTTCCCTTCGCCAAAAGGCAATTTTGTAAGTGTGAGAGACATGACAGTGTCATTTTCTTAATTAACTGCGCTATAACTTCTGTCTATAGTAGGGCTCAACACGCTGCAAAAACAACCTAAGAATTATTAATTGCGTTTTTGCCGAGTAATAAAAAAAATGTATTATACAAGTTCTTTGAATGTTTTCCAATTTTATTAAATATTTTACCCATAAATAAATTTCGTTTCCATAAAATGATTTCCCATTTGCATATTTTTTTCTTATGAATAAATTCATTTTGCCGCACATGGATTTAATAAAGCCGCGCCTACGCTCCCGATATTGAACTGGTTTGTATCAAGATGAATTTATTAACATGGTGACGCGCTATGTGTTATTAATTTTAGAATTCTATTACACTTTGTTGAGGATACATTTTCTTATCCACACACATTCACAAATTATTTGTGAGTTATTTCACATATGAGTTTTTGGGGAGCTGTGTGTGGGTTACATCTAAAAGTGGATAAAATAGATTAGGGGGTCGAACGAATGCAACGTCAGTGACGTCAGCAAAAGTTTACCGGGCTCGAAGATTTGAATAGATTTGGGGCAACTGGGGGTCGTCTAATTTAAGGATGTATAGAGTTATAATGTACTCGTAGATAGGTCTACATTTTGTTACATCTTACTATTTTTACAGTTATAGAAAGCTAGGGCTCGATCGTAGAGTAGTGAATCGTAGCTGTCGTAGCGTAGGGACGCGCTACGAACCACGATACTGCGGAAGCTACGGAATTTACTACGAGTGCTACGACACATGCTACGAATTGACTATTCAGTCAGTTCAACATTTAGTGCATAAGTAAAATTGACTGGCGTATAATTTAGCCACTTCTGCAAAAAAGAGAGAAAACATTATAAGAACAGAAAGTATTATCTAAATAATACTAATTCTCTTTATAAATATTTTTGCGGATCCTCTCCTATAGAAAATACATCTTCTAAGTTACATTTTATGTCAAAACGGTTATGCCTCAAATACTCGTACCTACACAGCTTCAGGGACCAAGGCTTGTATCAGTGAAATAAAATACAGGGTGGAGATAACAGGATAAGGGTTTCGTAAGCTCTTTGGAAATGCCCGGATCATCCCTCGGGAATTGCCCCAGGGTAGTAATTCCTGAAAATTCCACACCCTGGCTTATCGGGTACATACAGCGTATTTCAGATTTGTAAGGAGAAAAGTGAACGGGAAGTCAAAAAAAAGGCTGTTGATTAAACAATCAACAATGAAACCATTTCAATTTTAATTAATTTTAGAAGATAGCAAATGAGATCAGACTTTACGAGCCGCCATGTGTCTGACGTAGTTTTAACTGACCATAGCATCTGATTATGTCTGACTTATAGTTGTTACCATCATCATCATCAACAGCCCTTTACGGTCCACGGTTGGAGCTTCATCCACTATAGTGGAGGGTTTTGCCATAATCCCCACGCTTGGCAGGCGGGTTGGAGATCGCAGTTTAAAAGATCATTGATATAAAGTTACAATATCCTAAAGCCTAAGGAAACCAAGAATAAACACAGTACCCTATGTCATACTCTGAGAGTTGAGTTAGTTTCGTGTACACGGAACCGCAGATGTGCTAAGAACAGTTCACTACTTCAAACTTTTATTCGCTTCTATGTTTTTTCATTTACCTACTGAAAGCAACGAAATGCAACTAAGTGCGAAGTAGGTATGTAGGTATCAATAAATCATAGATGAGAATAAATTTTATAATAATACTTACATTAACTTAAAATGACTTAAAAACTAAAATTTAAAAATTACTAATCATAGATTGAAGTATCGTTTTCGTAGTTTTATGCCATTCGTTACAAACATTGAATTTTATAATAATACTTACATTAACTTAAAATGACTTAAAAACTAAAATTTAAAAATTACTAATCATAGATTGAAGTATCGTTTTCGTAGTTTTATGCCATTCGTTACAAACATTGAAATGTTTTTATGTTCCGTAACACTTTTGGAACTTTCAAGTAGCATTTACTCATAGTTTACGGTGACCATGGTTTTAAGATTATTTTTTTTATCATATTTTATCGAATACTTTTTCATTCAAATTTAATTAATATTACTAAATTTTAATTCATCTAACTGAACCCTACCAAGTTATTCCCACAGAATTGTAGCATTTTTGTCATTTATACTTTCGAGTTAAGTCCCACCTCTTTGGGTCTATATTATTTGCCCAAAATATATTTCTTCCCATAAAATGGCGCTTAAAATAATTGGCGCTTATTTTTCCAAGCAAGCAATTTCGTGAAAGTGAATCCTGCTGGCAGGTCGTCACGGCAGGTCGTTAGTCAGCCGCTCGATTTATGAAATGCGTTTGTCAGCAGCCCGCGCTGCTGTTTTATCATAATTTCATAAAAAATAAATGAGCAGGCCGTGGAATCTCGGAAATTGATGTCTCGGGCAAAATACGTTGAGAAACGCTACACATTTGCGAGAATACAAAGACTTTTGGTGGGGAACTCTTGGGAAACTGTAAGATTCTAGAAATATTTTCGTAATTTACGGCCCTATTAATTAAGTCTAGATATAGGATACCTTCATACAAGCGTTTCGCCTAAAGCGTATCTAAAATGTGTTAAAAAACGTACCTGTCATCATTGAAGTAATATTAGTACATTATAACTCAATGCCTGTCATCTATTGTCATGACGATGTGGAGTGTGTATGTACAATAAAGGCGATTTCCCCGAAAGTGGGAGAGTTTTATATTTACAAAATGTAATTATTTCATAATATTTAATAAGATATTGCCCTACCTAAATTGAAAAGAGGCATTCGGGGTTTGGTGAGATTCTTGGCAACAAATAACCAGCTGCAAGATGACCTCATTTCTATTTATGTAGCACACGAGCAATTTTCTCGATCACTGAACAAGATAGATCTACCAACGTGTGGGATTTTATCTCGAAATGAAACCACAACATCCTCGATCAATGACTGAAGAAGCCTCTTTCGAGCACGCATGAATTTTTCAGGCTAAGCCTTGAGAAGGAACTGAAAAATTGCGTACGATTTGTTAAAACATGTTTCTGGAGTAAATGGCTGAAAGATAAAGAGCCATGTATCAAATATGTAATGTACCTATCTCCTTCTGGGATGGAAAGTACACACCAATAAATCCACATGAGTGTTAGTGAATGTTTGTTGGTATCTTTCGTGCAACCTGGTGATATGGTGTGGTTCATTGTGATTATGAGAGCCTCATTTGTTACTATTATGGTAACTAGAGGATATTCGCGGCTTGTTGTAAGAGTTCCTTGTAGTTCAGTGGTGGCAGCGCTTTGGTGGCGGACACCATAATTAAGCAGCCTAATGCCGTGTTCGTTAATGGACGGGTGACCGACAAACTAACCATGTAACCATATTTAGTGGAATTTCTCAAAGTACGCAGGAAGATAGTAAAAAATAAGTGCGTTTTCGCTACGAAATGTAGTGTGCTTTCGACTACCAAAATAATGTAAATGTATAACATTTTCAAGTACCATAACCTTATTTAAGGACATTATTGCTTGACATTAACACGATCCTTAAGTCTTTACTTACCTTTAAAAGGATTTTGCCCTTGTTAAGGACTTTGCCTCTAATCCTGCCTAATGAGCAATAACGGTTGGTTTATGTTGTTCCGGCCTTGAATTACATTTTATTTTATTAACTTTGTACAACATTACGAAGTCTTTTTATACTTTTACCTAAGAACTACCTATTGTAGTTAAAATTAATAGTAACCACAAATTTTACAGTGTACACGAGAGACTTATTTTTGTGTTGTATAGTTCCGCTGAAGTGATTCTGCCATTTTAGGCTGTATAGTGGCCATATTAATAAGTATTCAACAAGGATTTCAAATTATTATGTGTGGCTGTACCTACACATGTTTTGAATTGGAGTCCCAAAGGAGGCTACGCTAATAAGTTCCTGGGATGAAACTAGAGTTACTCCGTTGTGTGTTGAGGAAACTACAAGAATGTTAGGTATGTTTAGAATAATAATAGTGAATCTTGTTTCGGAGAACATGTTCCTGTGTCAGTGATTATGCTTAGGTATGTTAAGACCGACTGCTTTAAAATCAAGTTATTTAGTTTTTCTGCAGCAGTACAGCAAATGGAGTAATGGCTTGCTACATAGGCGGTTTTAGGAGGTCATGAAGTTCGCATATTATCCTTTTATCGCTTTTTATAATACCTACACGGGAGGAATGAATGCTCTTATTCTGCTTTTTAACCACATGGCCAAACTCTACTAAATTGCTTTAAATTTTGGCAATCACATCGAAGTACACGCGCGATTTATAGAGCCTTTATGACACTTGTAACTAGACAAGAACTCGCAAAATTTTGTCGCCGACGCAAGATAACAAATTAATCCTACGGGACGGAACTCGGTCAATAAATATAGCGCAAGTAATCATAAAGAAATTGCGGTCCAACGCCTGGGGACACTGTGTGATGGAAACACTTAGAAAAAATAGTACACAGACGACAGAACGTCAAAGTAAACATTAAGGCATCTTATGCCGTTGTTATACGAGCTATTTTGCAACAAAAAATATAGTATGATGTGCTGTCGACTGTACTTACATACAATTGTCGCCAAACTTACTGAAGTCTAGATATTCTTTGTTCTTCACGTCTCTCATGACTGGGAAAAATATTTTAACTATTTTTGTTATTTCTCGTAACTTTTGTTAGGGAGAACTTTGTAATTTTTCGTTCGCAATTATAGTTCTACAGACTTCTAACAGATTATAATAGAGGAATGCTTACCCATTTGCGAATAACTACTTTCTATTATAATTTGAAAACGATAAAGGCACCGGAAGATATTGCCTGAACAAAAAAACAACCAACTATTTCTTCGGTGCATAATTTTCCAATATTAAATCTAGAATGTAAAATAACCAAGGCAGACGATGTCTAAGGAAGGAAAATATCATTCGCTCATAGATCGGAAAAGAAAATCTTGATAAGCTATGTATGTACCTCGATAGCTCGATGCAACACATGACTGACTTTCTCGTTCTTGAATTTGATATTAACGTTCCGTTCCAATCCTACTTATTATATTTTTTGGAGAAGTTAGCAACATAGAATAAATACCGCCCTTGGGCGTGGGATATCATTATTATACCTAAGTACAAGTAAAATGTAATTGTTAATTGTAAAGAAAAATATGGCTATTACGTTGGGCTACAATAACACAAAATATTGTTTTAATTGTCTCAAATATTTTTACAGCAATTAGCACCCAATTTACGGATAATCATAATTAACTACCTGAAATTGCTTCAAATTATTTAACATGATACCCAAATACGAAAATTAAAAGCATTACTTTGAGGAGCTTTATCTCAGCAGTCGGACGTATTTAAAGATGTTTACGAAATATTATAGTAAATTTGAAGGAATAATTTTTAACACGGGTGACGACCCTTTAAATACGCAGAAGAATATGGTGAACTATATCCAGCAGTTTGTAGGTATTCGCAATGTTTTTGGAGACGATGGAATTCGTAGTAAGTGTAACACTTCACTTGATCTCTTTGATTTAAAAAAAAAAGATTTTTAATTTGTTATTGCACAAATTACTAATATTCCCGTTAGGCCCTCGCACTTAGCTAAATAATTATGCTTGTGTCACGAGTCAGCTCACCACAATACAGTGTGAGTCACGTTAAAGTGTACATATGAAAATAGATAAAACTAGACCAATTTTTATCGACAAAAAAGAGGTCAAAATTTTTTTGAGATTTTTTTTTAATTTTTTATAGAATGCATACATTTCTATTATTTAGCATCATTACTGTTTTTATTTTATCAGGATATACCGCTTAGTTTAAAAGTTATTACGTTTTCTTTACAATAAGTAATTGGAAGAAAAAAATTCTATAAAAAAATAAAAAAAAATCTCAAAAATTTTTTGACCTCTTTTTTGTCGATAAAAATAGGTCTAGTTTCATCTATTTTCATATGTACACTTTAACGTGACTCACACTGTATAGTCGAGCGGCGGCGAGGACCGAACCCACACTCCCCACATCACGAGTCGGTCAATCCGACCTCTTCACTGTTCGGCTATCGTGGCTTCAAATGCAGCACAAAATAATGTGCTTTCGTTTCCCTTTCGTTTAAAAGATGCTGAAAGACTGCAATGGACAATAACATTCTATCTCCTTCTAGAATTCACAATACTCTCAGTATTTGCTGCCCTGCTCTTCGGAGGCGTCTTCATTTACGTGGGCTCCTTCAGCCAGCTGATATACCTATCGCAGGTGTTCCCGGACAAGATCAAGAGTTTCCAGGCCATCAACTGCTGGAGCAGTACCGTAGTGCCGCTGTCGAAGTTCATCTTTATGTTCACGTCCAGGTGCGGAAGTGTTACAGCCTTGTCCGTGAGCACGTAGAATTTTGTCCGCCCGTCGCACAGTCGAGCCAGCAATATAATTACGCGCGAGCGATAAGGATGGGTAGCTTGGGGTCATTGGGCAAAATTCTACGTAGGTACTCACGTTCGGATTACGAGTATCAATAATCTGCAAAAATTGACAAAATGAGAGAGAGCACGAAAAGTGGATGAACTTATTTTAGCAGATGCTTGCCTTACTATCACTATCCCAAAAAAATAACAGTCTGTATTTCTTCTATCGTAATAAAATTAATATACGTGGTCTTGTCAATTCGTGAAAAGACAATGCCGGAAATTGGCGTCTTTTTTTTTTTGCGCGGCCATGCCATCGACCAAATGACATTGGGAACTTTTTGCCCCACTTTTCGAAAAGTAGCGGACACAAACGAAACCTATCACAGATGATACATACTAATATCCAATGAATTTCCGTGCATTTTTTTTTCTCTCTTATATGGGAATATTGAGAAAATGAAGTTTTAATATTTTATTTTATTTTACATTTAGGTAACATTTTTGACGACCTCGGTGGCGGAGAGGCGCACACACCGGTTTTCAAGGTGTGCCGGGCCAATCCTGAGGTCCCGGGTTCGATTCCCGGCCGGGACAATATTATAGAAAACGATCTTTTCACATTGTCTCTAGTTTGGGTGTGTTGTGGTTCGTCGTTCCCGATTTCCATAACACAAATGCCTTAGCTACTTATTTTGGGTTGGAGTAATATATGAGATGTTGTCTAATATTAATTTAAGTATTTATAATATTTTATTTATTTATATTATTTTATTTATATTTTTTATTTATTTATATTATTTTATTTATATTTTTTATTTATTTATATTATTTTATTTACTTTTATTGGTTACTCTGCAATGCCAAACAACATAACATGTGAAAATATCAAATCATTTTAGACAAATATATTTTCAACTTAGACTCGTCATATCTCAGAATTCCCATATATCATAACATAGCGCTTTAAGTGAATATACCTACAAGTATAAAGCTTTGAAATAAAATACGTTTCATCTTTGTCCGCCGTGGGGCATTTTCTCATATTAAAGTTCCCAATGTCCTTTGTTTTTTGATTACAAAATAGTGTAATAAATCAAACTTACTATGACATAAATACCTCTAAACTCAGTCTGAACTGAGTTACGAGCATTAGAAGTTTGATGATTTTCATACTAGATTTGTTTGATGATTTTCATAAGAAATTGCAAAAAACTAGTGAGATTGTAACTATGTGTAAACAAACAATACCATCCATTAAAGGCTCCAGACATCAGTATGGAGCAGAATCAGCGCAATAAAAAAATAGCGCAATATTTTGTTGCAATTTCTTACAAAACTTGCGCACAAACAGCAAATCTAGTATGACAATCATCAAACTTCTAATGCTCGTAACTCAGTTCAGACTGAGTTTAGAGGTATACCTACATGCCATAGTAAGTTTGGTTTATTACACTATTTTGTAATCAGAAAACAAAGTTTGATCGATGGCCGCGCGAAAAAAAAGACGCCACTTTCCATACAAAATCTGGCATTGCCATTTTCAGTTTAAAGAATTCTTACAGAGACTACCTAAAAACATTTGAGTTTGGTTTTCGCTGGACTATCAAAATGTTTAGATACTAACCAATAATCGTAATACGTAAGCAGATCTAATTGATGAATTTACACAACTATGCTTTCAGCTCTCGTCTCCGAAAAATTATGGAGTTGAGTCGCGAGGGGCTCACTGCTGTCTCTGAGAACAGCTCCGCTCACAAGCAAATGTTGGCCATCCTCCGCAAAGCCCATATGGTATCCTGGCTGGTCATCCTTAACCAGTGCTTCACGCATTTTGTATACCTCATTTTGCCTGTTTTCTTCACTATTTTGAGCAATGATCGATATTTGCCGACTATGCCTGGTGACATTTATGGTAAGCAATCTTTTACATCCCTATTTTTTTGTGTTAAATTAAGACCTGTAATAATTTTAATGATTTCTACAGGTATCTTCTCGAAATATGAGAGCCCATATTACGAGATAGCTTTTATACTCACCATTATTGCCACCTTATTCTCTGTAATCAACCAGACTGGATACATTGTGCTATTTGTCGTGCTCCTCGCTCATGAACTTGGCCATTTCTACGCCATTTGCGAGATCCTCAACGAAATCCATGGAATCGTCTACAACCAAGATTTAATTTCGGATGCAATCAAAAACAATGGTCAGAACGAAGAGAAAGAATCCTCGCAAATGATGGCAACGGAACATTCATTAACGGAGATACAGAAACCAAAGAAGATCCAAGAGTTGCTGGTATTCTGTGTGAAGCACCACCAGTTCATAATGAGATTTCATGCAAAGATCGGGGATCTGTACAAGGTCATATTCGGCGCGCACTTTTTGATAATGGTGATAGTATTGGTGACGACACTGCAAACGTTGAATTCTTGGGGTTTGATTAATACTGCTTTGACAGGATTGACTGCTGTGATGCCATTGGTGGTGTATTGTTTTGGTGGAGAGATGCTGATATCTTCTAGCCTAGCAATGGCCGATGCAGTGTATGCTTGCGGTTGGGAGGGCATGAGAGTAAAGCAGGCGAGGATTGCACTACTCATACTTTGTGTGGCGCAGCATCCTTTGTACTATACGGCAGCCGGAATTTTCATTATGAATAGAGAGACCTTTGGAGACGTGGCACAGGTTGTGTACAAAATATATGCAGTATTTAATTAAACGTGGAGCTACACAGAACTGCATTTACAAATACTTGGAAAATTAATAAAGAGAAGCATTCAAGGGCTTGTATTTAGATTAAATCCAAATATGTATTTATAAGAAACCTCTTAAGGGCTTATGAACGAAATAAGTACACTATTATGAGCTGTTAAATAGAATCTCTCGTTCACTGCAATTAATTTAATAAAGTGCACGTTTTTATCACAAACAGCTTTCTTTTTATTGCCAGTGCGAAAATATTTTTGTGAGTTCTTATATGACTCTGAGTCCCACCGCTGATGAGTCTTTATCTGAAATTAAATCGCCCGATGTGAACGAACCGAGTGAAACTCAGAAGTGAATTCCTTGGAGAATTTCCATAAAAGATGAATGAGGGCTTACACAGCGTAATAATATTTACTTATACACTTTGGTATTCTTATCTCGGGGCACAAATTACGAAATATTTTGCTGAAAATATTATATTTTTTAATTTTAATAATATTTTGAAACCGCAGCTTGTGGGGAAGGGTGGCTGAATTTTTGTGTCTCTGCTTGCAAGGAAGAATTACGTTTTCACGAAAAATACTGTACGAATTTCACACAATTTTACAGAAACGAAGTTTTCAAAATAAGATTTTTATAAACATAAAGCTCAATTTAGTGAAATCGTCGACATAATAACGCATGTATACTTATTTGAAGTGTGTCAAGTGGTTAAAATAATGTTCGGGAATTAGGTACAAGGTATCACAAAATACATTGTGGTTGAGGAAGGCACACGTGTGCGGACCATTTTATCTTTAAAACCACTCTGCCCCAATGCCTGTGGGCGAACATTGTCGCCGATATTGCAACAAGATTGCAATTTGGCTGTATATTGGCTTTATAACTACGAAAGTAACCAGCTAAACCAGTATTTAATATGAAACTTGATACGACTGAAATAAGTGCTACGACATTTTTGTAGCATTGAACACCGCTGATTCGTATTCACTTACTCAGACATCGGTTTTTTATTATTGTCAATGAAATTTAAGTCCTATTGCGGTTACGGAAAGTCACAAATCCTACGAATACGTATTATTATTATTTATTTATTTATTTATATTTTGTGCTTTTTCCACCTCAGCTTAAAAGCTGGAAAACTAAAGATCAGCTACGGGCATTGCCAAGTACCTGATCTATAATAAGATTGATTAAGTGTTTTTATTTATTAAAGTTTCTATGGATGCAAAAACTACTGAACGGATTTTGGTAAAACTTTACGGCATTATTGTTTATAATCCAGAATAACATATAGGCTATAATATATAACGCTCTGTGACAAAATAAATTTCACGCGGGTGAAGCCGCGGGCAAAAGCTAGTTATAATATAAAACTCAGACAGTTACATTCCGTTATAAATAGACGGAGCGCTGACGAGCGGAATTAAGGCATAACATCTTTACCGGCCGTGTAACTGAACAATTAAATTACTTCCCCTAGTAGCTTATTTTTAATTAAATTCTCTGGAAGTTCCCGCGTCTCCCAACGCTGTACTGTTTAAATAAGCTTTGAAAATACAGTCCTTTTAAAGTACATTATTTAACTTTTACTAATAGACTTATGATTTAGACATGTCGTAGATAGGTGGAGAGACGACCTCATAAAGGTAGCAGAAAGGCGCTGGATGCAGGCCGCTACCAGCCAGTCAATCTGGAAATTATTGGGGGAAGCCTATGTTTAGCAGTGGACGATAATATAAGGATAATAATGGAATGAGGGAGAGGTCTTATTTAACGGCTTCTAAGTTGATGAGTTAGTTGGGTGGTTTTTTACTTTGTTAAGGGTGCAATAAAGAATTTCTATTTTAAGTGAATTGCCTACAGCATGCAGCTTATTTGCTATCTGGGAGAGCACTCGGCCTGCACTGAGCCACAGTGGAGATTGATGCGGTATGTTCACTTACTTACCGAGTGACTGCGTGCTTCTTGAGGAAATTGCGACCACTCGCTATGCCGTGAGTAAGGGGTTTTGCTTCAAGCACTTTTTGTTTGTGTGTTTCTTTTCGAGTGGTTCGGGGGTGTTTGAATGTTCGTGTCATAAATAAGTTGATTATACGCTTGGTTGCCAGCAGCACTTGGAGAAAAGCTCAAGAATGCTTTAAATATTTTGGTAAATTAGACTAATGTAGGTACAAGAGGGGAACGGGAGATTTTTAAAAACCTCAGGAATATGTGTGTGCTTTAGTTTTTTCGGCGGGTTGTCGATACTGGGGTCAGAATATTCCTAACCAGTCGATCGAGAACATCTAAGCTATGTAGGTACTTTCAAACTACTATTTACTGACGCACTATCAGCCAACATTTTTTGGAGCAATTAGAACCCCCATTTTGTAGGCAGTGTGGTAGCTGCTGTATGTATTTACCTTATGGTAGGGGGTCGTAACGACAATATTTATAGAGAGGAAGTGCTTTCTTATCCCACTTCCGTATTATTTTCTCATCTGACGTCGTAAAACGTACCGCCCCGGCTTAGATATTGCGCACCTATGCCATAATAACTTCAGTAAAGCATTGAGTCTGAAGAAAGTAATTTACGATAAGATTGTGAGATAATAACCGAGGATCATGACGTTATGAGACGGCTTCTTTGTCCTTTGAAAATTACATGTTATTAAGTATTTAATTTTAAATCTGTCTCACATCATATTTTAAACGCCTGTTAAGGTATGAAAAGTTGAGGGTTGGGTAGTAAGTATTAGGAAATCTGTAGTTGGGTTACGAATTCTGAATATACATTAACCAGTCTAAAAGCTTTTTTTTGTGAATCGACTATTATACCGTCGAGATGAGTCGACCTAATTTGTTCAAAGGTGCTATTATAGAGACTAATATAACTAAATTAAACAGTTTTCGGTTAGTTTCGATGTCTAATTTGTATTAAATAGTCTCTCATTAAATAAACATTGTACCTGAATGTATATTTGTTGTCAGTGAAATTCTAACAGTGCGAAATCCTAAGTCAAAAATGTGCATTAACAGGAAAAAAGCACGCGGTCAAAAAATGACTTACGAACTGTAAGAACTTCACTGACGTTATGATACTTTATAACTTATGGAGAACGTTTACCAAAAAGTTTCAACTGCAAGTCTCGCCGATTGAACTCCGCTTCACGTCGCCTGTCACCAACATCCGATGTCAACCGGAGCGGTAGTGTTATCGTGACCCACAGTTCACAGTCCGCAATGCGAATTTCGTGTTTGTATTTCATATTTGGTGATAGAAACTGTATTATCTGTAAAGTTTTGTTACTATAGCCTGACCAGGAACATAAAAACCCTGGCATAGGCGCATCAATTGCATTTGATAGTGCAACACTGAGTACAGTCGTACCGGTGTTAAATTAATAGGCTAACTTTATGTATCAGGATTCAGGATTACGGGCTAATTTAATATTTTCATAAATTAACGAAAACATATTATTATAGGTAATCTGGTTTAAATAAATTAAATGAAACCATCAAACGAGCTACACACACCGGCAGATTTAGCGGAACGCAAAAAAAAGTATGAAAATAAGGAAAATTACTACTGATCTATGAAATATTTATTATACAAAATAAAGAGATAATTAAAATAAAATAAAATAACATATATTTTTTAAATATTTAGTCGTTTTTATTTAATAAAAAATCATCGAAACGAAATTTCAATTTTTCAGTTTTGAACAAAAATTAGAAATTGTGGCCAGATTAAAAATTAGGGTAGCTTATCACTATCCAAATGAATGAATTAATGATGGGTATTTCCCCCTCTTGCTCTGATGATGGTTTCCATTCATCTGAGCATGCTGCAGTTAATGATATGAAGGGTATTTTGGGGCAATGTCTGCCATTCCTCTAGTAACGCGTTTCTCAACACCACCGGTGGTATTCTGAGTTTAACACATCTTTTAAGAAAGTCCAAGACATGCTCTATAGGATTCTTGTCTAGGGATCTTGCCAGCCACTGCATCATGGGTATATCCAAATGGTTTAGATGTGCCTGTACTGAGCGAGCACTGTGAAAACGAACATTATCGTGAATTAAACTAAAGGAGTCCACAATAAATGGAGTAAATGGCACATCATGTTCTTCTAAAATGTTCCTAGTGTACCATTCAGAAGTCGTATTTCCTCCATCACCCACCACTAACTCCGTAGTAGGATTTATTTTATTATTCATCAATAATCAAATTCAGAACTTGAATATTCAACTGCAATGTCTGCTCATGAAGGCTTCAAACTCGGTACTTCTTTCCCAATTCCATAAAATTCAACACTTAGAAAGTGACAAAAAACTTTAAAATAGGTAGTTGAAACAAACCACAGCTAATTTTCATAGTGGACTGTACTATACGATAAACATGTCAGTCAATTTGACACCCTTGTCGGAAAAAATATTCAATTAAAATATTGTCCGAACCCTTATTATTTCTCTTCGACAAATACTTGAATACATTGTGAACCACTTTTATTTCACGACTATAAAAAGATTTTAGCAATTTAATTCACAAAATCAATGAAACTTCTTTCTGCAGGAGACAGACTTTTCGTCAAATGCAAATTGAATGCAAAATTGCGCACATTTAAAATAAAGTTTGTTTACACTTTGACAGCAATAGACTGACATGCAAGGTGACATGTCAATGAAGTTTTTAGTTATTGTTGCCATTAAAAGAAATTAGTACCATTAGATTTCCGCAACATGGCGAGGGTTTTTATGTTCCTGGTCAGGCTATACAAGACATAGGCTCAGTTGCACCATCTTACTTTAACTTTGAAAAATGTCAAAAATCTGTCAAACTCTATACAAAAAGCACCGGTTATCGTTATAGTTATGGTTAAAGCTTTGAGGTGCAACTCAGCCTTATTGTATAACAGAAAAGTAATGAACAGTGGATAAAATCCCCGATGACGATAGCGAAACGGCCATGGCACTTATTTTGACTAAGACATAGAGTTTGTGTAGTTAGGGATTGTAGAGTTAGAAG